TTTTATAGATTAAGTTTAAATTAATTTTGTTTTATTGTAATTGATTTTAATTGAAATTATTTCTTGTTGTTCTGGCTTTCACAAAAATCTTCATCACAAGGCCATGCATTCCAGAGTTAAAAACGTGCAATTCTTCACGCGACGTCAATAATCCTTTCACTTCACAAATCTCACGATCTCACTTACGAGACGAATTTGCCCGCCTTCATGTCGACGATACAGTCGCTGATTTGCGTCTCGACGATCAAGTCCGAGGACTTGTAACCGCTCGGTGACTTGGTCTCCTCTGTCCATTGCGAGAACGGGCTATATATTCGGAGGTAGCCGCTGTGGCTGCCAATGACGATGATGTCCTTTCGGTCAGCGTCGAACAATGGCGTGATCAGCAAACTGTGCTTATCGAAAGATTCATTCACTCCGCATTGCGTTCTCCACCATTCATTTGTCTTGAACAACGACATTTCCGAAACGCTTCAAGAATTCGGCGGCATCGTGACACGAACAAGGACAAAATGCAACTAAACACTAGGGGCTTACACGCCGGTGGTTGCTATGACAACATTGACAACGCGCCGCCACAACAAGTCAGCGTCTCGAAGCTTGAAGCTAAGGCTAATCAAAGACTCGACAAAATTGCGGTGTAACTCCACATTATCTAAATATCGTGAATGTCGAAGTGTATGCGTATTACAGGTATCAGCAAATTACTGTACACGCAAATTGCTGTCTAAATGGCACATGACTTTCCTAAGTTTCAAAACGGGTCTGTGATACGTTAAAGAACTATACTTGCTTATTTAGAATATTTAATTTCTGCAGATTCAGCGACTTATTAAATTTTCTTGACTTAGAGTTTTTAATAGCTTTAAAAGTTTTGATCTATTAAAAAAATTGATTAAAAATATTCAATTCTCGTCCAGCTATCCGCCTTTTTCGAATTATAACTTTTAATATTTTTAAAACATTCGACATTTTTTAAAGAATTGTAATTGTTTCAGAATATATATATACATATATAAATATTATAAATATTTATGTTAATAATCATAAATTTTTATTAATTGTAACGCAATCGTTCTTCAATTATCCCCGAACCTTCCAAGCCCCAGTCACGAAAATTTATCCAGAGCCGAGGGTCTTTAATAGTATCTTGTCGCTCAGCCATAAAGGATTTGCACAGCATGCATAGGTATACATAGAATTAAGAAGTACGAATGCCAAAATTCAGTAGATACTAAAAAAAAATTATTATAAATATTATATTTATGATAATTTTTTTTAGTGTCCACTGTATTGTTATTATACTACCATATTTAGTAGTACAAGGTGTGGGGCGCAGGTTGGCGTCACGCCGAAGTGGATCGACTCGGAATTCAGGGACCCGAGTTCGATTCCACCTTAGCGCCCCAACACGAAAAATACTCAACGTCTCTTAGGAATATGAGTATATTTATTGTCTTTCTGTTTCTCCTCAGTCCTGTCCCAGTGAGAAATGACAATGAAATCGATGTCGAATTGACGTCGATTCCATTATCATTTCTCACTGGGGTAGTCGCTCGATTCTGAAAATAAAAGCAGCAATATTAAAAATAAGAAAAGGGGAAAAAGAAAGTGCCGGTAGAGAATCCAACCGGTAAGGTGATGCAGCGGCTATTAAACAAAGTGTGCCTTCCAACAAGCGACACAAATGACACGGTGTGACGCATGGATCATTATATCCTTGTTGTTTGCCAATGTTAAACAAAGATGACATGATTACTGTGTAGCACTATGTCAAACTTGTTGGAAGGCACACTATTACTACGTTTACACGGCACTCTTTACGCCAAAGTTATAACATCGATATTATGAAACTGGCCAATCATAGCTGTTCCTCTGAAGAATGGAATGACTGTGATTGGTCAGTTTCATAACATCGATGTTATAACTTCGGCGTAAAGCGTGCCGTGTAAACATAGTAAATGACTACCTGCTGCGCCACGGGACTCGTTGTGATACCTGCTTAAGAACATTCTCCGACTGCAGTTGTGCTCAACCTAATGAGCACATTAGTGCTCACCATTATCACAGTATAATCAGTAGGGACACTTGCGAAAAAATGCGGGGTCCGCGCAGATATGGCTGCGCAGCTTTTGTTTTGAGCCGGATCCAATGAAATGCAAAACGACAGTAATGTATGTGTAATGTATGTATATGATAGTAATGTAAATGTTAACATGCCGGATGCTCACGTGACTGGCGACACGGAAATCAAAGGTGCCGATACGAAGTGTCCCTACTGGTTATATTGTGCTATTATGAAAATTTTTATGAAAATTTATTTCACTTTTATATAATATAAGATATTCCATAAGTGTTAATGTTTTTATATAAGTTTTTTTATACAATATAAAATGCCTCCCGCCTTCGCTATTGCCGTCAATCGAAAAAATAGTGACTTTACCCACAAGTAGCAAAGTTTGTCATTTTGATGTTATATTTTGGGTCTTTACTGACTATTACTGAAGTCAAATTGACGTTCGAATGTCACAAACGATTAACGTCATCGGTGAGCCGTCATTTTAACGTTATATCTTGGTCCTTTCATCATATACTACCCAACCGGCGACTTATGACGTCAATATGATGTCACGGAATGCCGTTACGAAAATGACGTCAGTATGCTTTCACAAAATGACATCATACTGACGTCACGAAATAACGTCGGATAAAACCTATGGTCACTTTTTGGTCACTTGACGTCATTTGTACCAACATGACTTGAATTTGACGTCAAAACGACGAACTTTACTACCTGGGTATACTTACTTTGCTACTTACTTTGCTCAATGATTTCTTAAAAACGTATATCGGAAGCCATATTCAGACAATATCAGACAAATTTCATATTATTTCTTGTGATATCAAGTTTTATGTTTCATTGTTTCAAAAAATTGTTAAGAAAAACTTCTTTATAGTGAATAAAAAGACCACTTTCGAATAAGCTTTAGATAGGTATTCTATGTATATATATGTATATATTATACACGCGCAAATTTAATAGCACGTTATATTTTCTGGCATATATTTCTTAATATCTTTACATTGACACTTCAATAAATTATAATTGCTTAAAGATATTTATTTCGTACGAATTCAGTGGCCCACTAAATTTCTTTAGTTTAAAATTTTTATAAATATCTTTATAAAGACAAGAAATCTATCTTGTCTTTCGATTCTAGATGTTAAATGTAATAATTTAGTACGATATAATTTGTGTAAAAATTTTGTAATAACACTATTCAACACCCGGAAGATTTTTTGCGCTGAATACAATGTGTCGTTGGCAGAATTTGCATAACAGGATTTTAAATAAAATTGAGGTAAAACCCGATGAGAACAGGTACGTAGTATCCACGTGGAATCGATGTATTTTGACTGACCGTGACTACGTGAATTAAAAATTTATTCACGTAATATCCACGTGAATGCAACGTTGACATTTCCTTGCCAAATCGAAATCAATTTTCATCAAAATTTTGACGTGGATTCTACGTAGACACTTCCATATAGATTTTAAGACGTAGAATCCACGTGGATTATAGTACCGTTTTCGAGCGGATTGTTATTCGATTGTTCACGTAGAATCCACGTGGCAGTCCAAAATCTCTACAATTGGTCCGTTTTCTGTTCCTGCACTAGGCTGTTCTAGAACTCTCTTTTTCGCTTTAAACAAATATCAAACGTATATCTATCTCACTTTAAGTTCCAAAAGTGTACACTAGTTCAGCCACAAAAAACAGACCTAATATTGCTGCAACATACAATGTTGTTGTAATGTTGCAGCAGTGTTGCAACATTACAACAACATTGCATGTTGCAGCAATATCTTTGGAAGATGTACTATGGACGATGTACTATGGCAGTTTGAAGAGAAAAAAAAGTAATTTGTTTGTTGAACAGAGTAATTTATAATTATGTAATAATTTAGAAATTTAGATATAATTTAATTTAACAGGTTCATATTTGTATATAAACATTATCATATATTTAATAACTCATTTTTGGTGAGTGGGAAAAAGGTTTTATATACAATAAAACACAAAGTCTATCTTTGTAGATTTTATTACAAAAAACTAGGTATATATACGATATAAATAAAATATGCACTGTTTAATTAAAAAATATAAATCGCGATTATTTTTTTCGCGATTAGTACATTTGTCGTATTTGTCAGTAATATATCTGCCATATATCCAATGTCGTCCAGCTGAAAATTATAAATTCGCAGGATTCACATATTCGCGCGTAATCGTATTTTTCTCATTGCATAAATTGATATAATATCTTGTCAGCAGATGTCACTACAGTATTCGATTTCTAAATGACAACAGTTGAAATGATAGATTTCTATCTACTTTAAAAATTTAAACAAAATATTATTTGTATATGTATAACAGTTAATAAATCCATTGTAATTGAAATAAAATTGTTGGAGAAGTAGACAAAGGGATTTGTCATACAAAATAGAATGAATTGAAAAAACGCATAATTAAATTTAAAACATATATGTTAATATAATAGCATTTTGTAATTTTATAACATAATCACGTTGTATTTTAAACACATCACTAGTTTTTTATTATAAATTAATACACATTTTATTAGAATTATTTCTCATGTCATGAAAAAAGTCTACGATATTGATAATTGATTCTTACGTTTATATAGAAAGAATAGAAACGCTATTATATATAGTACATATATGTAATAATCTTTATTAAAAGTATGTATTACTTATAAGTGCTGTTCTCTTTATTAGTCGACTTCAGCAAAGACGGAAATTTCCTTCGAAGTTAAAATAGCTGCAATGTCAATACCATTGTAGTACACGTTGAAAAAATTTTGAAGGATCAGCTTTCTTTTCAACAAGTAGAATTACATACACATCTTTTACTATCAATTTCTACTACTAATTACCATAATATGTTATATTAATATGTGCGTTAAATTAATATTGACTATCGGCTTTCCTCCGTTAAAATCGCGGAAAGAATCTGCGAAGTAATCAAGTCAATTTGCTTGCTACATCAGCAGATATTTAAAAAGTTTTAATTCTTTTAAATTTCGCCAAATGAATACATATTTTTCTCGCAATAGTCTAATTTATTGCACTCGCGCGCGTCGATGATTTCAGATTTCCTTTCTTCTACCATAGTTGGAACTGTCTCTTCTAGCGTATTCATACTTTGTCTGTAAAAGATTAAGATAGTAATCGCATGTATATAAAAGAGTTTTCTTTTTTAATATTACCTTTTGTGCCATAACAGTTCGAGAGCAAATATAATTACGCTAAATAGCGCTCCGTAGCCCATTGTGATTATCGCAAAATAGCATTCCGTAAAACCAATGGTGATGAAGCCAGTCTTACTCAAGCAAGTCGGTTTTTTTATGTATAAGCGATACTCGTCGCGATACTTGAGCCCATATTCTCGCAGTTTCAAAGCTCTGAAAATACTTTCCTCGAGTACTATAATACTATTGGAATTTATCTGGCATTTTATACAAATGCAACGCAATCTTTTTCGAGCTTATTTTTTTATACAAAATTACTCTCCAAGGCGATTAAAAGATCAACATTTAAAAATGATAAATGTCATATATGAAAATATCAATTAGAAACAATTTTTTGGACTTTGATAATTAATTCTATATCAATTATGTACAAATTTTGTTAAAAATATATTATGCAAAGCAAATGAAATGAGATTTTGTGTACCATCCTGTATTTTACAAACTAGCGTATGTGCCTTTACCTTCGACCAATTCCGACTTGTGGTACCACTTATGATCAGCAGAATTTTATCGAAATACAGAGTTTGCTCATACAGTTAAAAAAGCTGCGCATATTCCACAAGTATAATTTTAATAAGATAATCAAATAGTATGACATTTTGTGCGCCATATTATATATTAATTCTTAACATGCATTATACAGTAGAGACTACTGTATAAACTTGAAGCAAAGCACGCGTTTTTTTACAAAAATTCTTATATTAAACTTTAATTTGTTCGAATTAATTCAAAAGTATATGAATCGTATTCAAAAGTGCGATGTATATGAAAAATCGACATAAACTTACCCATTTTTTATTATCTCCAAATAAGGTGATTTTTTCGCAATTGGAATAACCAGATGTATCTGATTCAAATAATCGATCTCAGTTAGGCCACATTTCTCTTTTTCCTGGTAGGTGCGCTGCATAATTTGATATATCGGGCTTCGTATACCATGAAATGCAAAAGGTTCATTTCTTACACGGCGTACTCCTTCTTCGAGACTCATCCAGTTCGGTTTGTGCCCTTTCGGTTCAACCTTCTGCTCCACGATCGCTTTTCTGATGGGGTCTTGAAAAGACTATATTCCAATAAAAAGAAAATTATTTTTGTCAATATAATCATTTGTTATATAATTTTATTTTAAAACAATTATCTACCTTAAAATAATTTCGATTTATTATTATTTCTTGTACTCCTAAATTTAACGGACTATGCAAAAGATCGGAAAGGGTTTTGATCGAGTCTGTGCTAGTTTGCAAGAGAGCCACTATATTCGCCGTGTAAGCTGCATAAAGGCTCAGCGAGGCCAGTAATAACATAAGAGTGATGATTCGAGATGGGATTCTATATGGCTCATACGAATATCCTACAAATGTACAGAAGCAATAAAATTTCTTTATTTTTAGCTCTGATAAATACTTCAAATACATCGTTATATACATATATGTGTATGTATTATCATATATTTTATGACACCGAACGACGCCTGACGCCACCGGACAGCGATGAAATGTTGTTATTACACGACCGTACATTTTTCGTAAAAAAAATAACTTAAATAATTAATTTTAAATTTTATCTCATCAATAAAGAAATAAAAATTAAGATTATTTATAAAAATCAAATACCTACTTTACAAATATGTCATACATTTATGTAATATATAAAATATATTTTTAAATATTAAATTCTTAAAAATATACAATAATAAACGATTTATTAAGAGCGTATGTATGTAATACATAACAAAAGTTTAATGCCTATTAAGGTCGAAACTAGATCTTAGATGCTTTTTAAATAATTTCTATGTGAATTTATATTATAAATTCACATAGAAATATGTAATTATTTGAATTACGCGCCGAAATGATTTTTCAAACTTATAAACACAATTAATTTATAATTTGTATATTTGGATATTATTATAGTATATAGTTTGATTGCGTTTATAAGTTCGAAAAATCATTTCGGTGCGCAGTTCAAATAACTACATATTTAGTGTATATAAATTCACATAGAAGTTATTTAAAAAGCATCTAAGATCCAATTTCGACCGTAACAGGCATTAAACTCTTACTTGTTGTATCTTAAAGATATTTTAAAATGCATTTTAAATTTGCGTAAAATAGAAAATATAATTTTATATTTTCGGCTGTGAGCTGACGGATTGCAGGTTGCGTATCACTACTTTAAAGTAATTCTTTCGATGTAAATTTGAATCCTTATATTTCTCTTGTCCAGATTTTTAATTACACAATCACGTGATCATTAATAAAAGAAGAGCAAAAAACAGAAAATATTAAAGGTTTTATTTCACTCATCAGAATGAGAGTGGAAATTGAGGAGATAATAATTCTATATAATAATAGATAAAATAAAAATAAAAAGCTTCTACTGTATTTTACAAATTTATTCTTTGAATATTTTTATTTACAAATTAAGATTTATGAAAGCTTTTACATTAGATTATACCTTGTTGTGCAAATGCACCTAAAATGACGAGAAGATTATCGATGATTGTTGGTTTGCTAATATTTGATTGATTCCAATAAGCTGCCGATTGTTTCAAAGTACCTCGATAGTGTTCCCATTTCATAGATATGTATAGCAAGCAAAAGACGAGAACAAGGAATATGCCGGTTGCTATCCAGACATTTCTTTGAAAGGGTAAGGTAAAGATGTTTTTTACGGTCGACAATAATGGTTGTCGGAACACGAAACACAAACTGCACAAAATTTATATATTGCGTCATTATATATTATATATATTAGATTCTGACAAATAATACTAGCTACGTTTACATCGTGGACTTAATCCGCGACAATATCCTTGTTTATCCTGTAGATTAAATAATAAAAACACATATCGTATAGGTCGTGGACTAAGCGCACGGTGTAAACGTAGCTAATACTAAAAAATAAAAATACGATAGGGAACATTAGAAAAACATAGGAAAAAATACAGATACGATAGAAAAAATGTTAAGTCATAACGCTAACAATATTATTAATAAATTAATTTTGATATAAAATTTAAATTTATAAATCCATTTAATTGAGATGATATGCTAATCAAATAAATAATACGAAAAATTTTTCATTGGAATTGAAGCTTAAAATATGTAGATAATATATTACAGTAAATTGTAGTCAACAGAACTCAGAAGCATCATTAGGGTAATTTGCGTTCAAACTTCGAAATGTAACCGTTTCTTGTAAATTGTTTATTCAACATTGAAAATGACCCGAATAGTCGAAACATCTGTTTGAATGTTTAATTAGATTATTAAATATTAGCAAACAATGTCTAGCTTTTTGCTCGTAGCCCTTTACATATTAGTTGTAATTTTATTCAATTGAGCATAATATAATATCATTTTATTAATATAATTATTATATATACAGCTACACTGAAAAAATGTACTAAATTTTAATAAATATTTGTTTGAATAATCATGTAACATAATAGAGCAATCAAAGTTTTGACTTAATAATTAGATTTCAAGTGCTATTTTACCCAGAGTGTGTGTATAACTGAATGTGTTCTAACATATGCATGCGATTCGCCAGTATGTACACAGAAGTGCCGCCAATGTCAATTTCATGTCGTTGCAGCATTCCGATCATTCCGTCCCAGGATCCATTATTATTATGTCCCCAGTTGTTGGAAACATTGAAACTTATTCTATAAAATGGAAGAACAAGATACTTCCTCGCGTTCGACATTCGATAATGTCGGATCTTACATTTTATTTTTACTGATAAAGCGCATGACTTATATAATTAAACGGCTTCATTCGTACGCTAATTATAATCTGAACGAAAACAATTTTATCTTATATTGTATGATCGTGTGATCACTCTAAGTTAATTCACTAATAATCATGTTTTTATAATAGCTTTATTATCATTTTAAGCTTGCATTTAGGATTGTTATATTTGTAAAGTAATTGACAAATCGCATTTTTATTCTTCTAAAATTTTCTTCATAAGCATTTTAACGATACTAGTATATTTTACCGCCAAAAGGCGAAACTCACGTTGCGTTCATCCGGTTTACTAAATGAAGTATCCAGATATAATTAACCTTTGTTATAGGATCTATCATATTATATTTAAAATCAGTTAAGTGATTAATCGTGTCAGGATTTGTCATCTGCAAAGATGAAAAAATATATTTTTATACGCAAAAAGTTTTGAATATCTAAAACTGAACATATAAGTTAAATTTTGGCATTATTTTTTTTATTTTATGATAAAATAATAGTAGGGTACACTATTATCAAATGCTTGTAAATGAAATTTCATATATCGTTGATATGATAAGTATGTTTCATTGCACAGTAAGTGTATGAATACGTGTTCAAAGTACCACGAGACAGGACTTGAAATGTGACTGCTGAAGATTTCTTCTCCTTGCCGAAGCCACGTCGTAAGTACTCATTTGTAAACCGTTTTTGATCGTCCAGTTTCCGCGATTTTCCCATATTACTGCTCGTTGTGGACTCGGTCGATATACGGATGTCAGTTGAAGAAAATCACCATCGAATCTTCGAGCGAATACCACGTCACTGTCAGGATAGACAGCTAAATCTTCAAAGACCTCTAAGTTATCATATGTGAAAGTTATGTTGGCGTTATCGATTATCATTCTTCGATCTTGAAGGAGCAGCCACTTCATCGGGGCAATGAACATTTTCTTCGAATGCGCCTAACACGTAATGATCAGATGAATAATTAATTGATTTAAGCGGATGATAAAAAAATTCCCTATAATTAACTCATATATGCCATCAGTCCATGAACATTAATGACTTCTCTTTTATTATAGACAATGGATTGTAATCAATGCTGAATTGTGCAAAAATTTTAAGTGGCCAGAATTATTGATATAAATTATTACGAGTACAAATGGAACTATTATAAAAACTTTTGTTTTTTTTTTAAATGAGATGCTGGGGTTTTCACAGAAATTGTGTATTATATTTATGCTCGTATTTTACTTGCAACAAACGTTTGACACCTACCTGTCGTAAAATTTTTATAGCGTTATCACAGTTCAGATCCAGCACATACAGATTCTGATGCTCCAAATTGTTATAAATTTTTTCTTTAAGATCATCGTCAAAGTTATGAATGCAATGTGTCAAATAATGATTCGACATTTCTCTTGATAACTTAATCGTATCATCTGATAAAAAGAGAAGAGTATAGAGCCAATTAAAATTCTTGAGATATTTTTGTACGTCCGGGAAAAAATGTTATATTTATGGACATATTTTATATGTAATTGTATATAAAATATATCAATTTTTTACATAATTATACATAATTTTATTGTACATATATGAAACATTTTTTCTCGGGCGCCTTTTTATGTAAATTAAAATCATCATAATTTAGAGTGTTGTAACGATATATTCTATTCCAAAATTAATAAAGTTCATAGTAAAATGATAGTTTATATAACGTTATAAATTTAAATTAAAAAATTTCTCTTTTTTTCAATGATTACTTCTAAATTTATGATTAGTTTTATTCTCTTAATCGTCATATTTTCAACAGTCTTAAAACGTAAATTATAAATTCGAAAATCTTGCCGTAGCTGATGCACGTATGTAGATATATCCTTGATGGCGAAAATAAAATGGGCGTCACATCGACGATAAATTGTAGAATCACATCGTCGATCCGACGAGAGAATGTAGTGTCGAGCGACACTGCAAGGATGCATAGAATGACAAAAAACATTCCAATCGCTTTTGTATTCGCGATTGCAAATAGATCCATTCAGGATTGTCGACAGTATCGATTATACATCCGTTATAACCGTAATCTTTTTGCGTATTGCCGAGTTGGGATATTCCCATTCATAAGAAAATCGCTTATAAATCCAAAAAAAATAAAAACGTAATAAAGAAAAATAGGTACAATAAGTCGATTATTGGCGCACATAAAATATTTAATGTTCGTGACGGACGCTACATTGATGCGGTATGTAGCTCGCAAAAAAAGGACGCAATGAAGAGACAATCGGTGTAATGAGTGGAATATTATCGTACGTAAAATATTTAGCATTCGTGATGGACGCTACGTTGATACAATTAATGTATAGCCCTCGGATGATTTTCTTTAATGTAGCTTCGAAACATGTGGTTTTAGGATTTTATCAGCTTTCATCGTTCTCACGATTCCCTTTCGACAGTGTAATTATTCAAAGCACAATTTGAGTAATGACAGTGCAAGAAATTCCGCTGCAAGAAACTCAGAGTCTGCATTATATTTCGTGTGTGAAAAACCGCAGCTGAGATTTTACGTACTCTACTATAACGCAATGTAATTTTTATGACATTCTTCTTACATTTCTACGTATTCCACCGACGAAATTTTTCTTACCTACGACGTAAACAATTTTTATCAATCGTTATATAAGCAATTTTGGTACAATAAAAGTGGAAATAGTGTTTAATTTTAAATATTGACACATCGACTCTGTTTATGACACGCGTAACTTTATCTTAGGAACAAGATTTACATTAGTAAATACACAAGTTATGTCCATCCGGACGAGACTTAAGGGAGCATAATTTACTTTGAACAACTTCCACGTCTATCCCATCTGTCTCCAACGTGTGTCTGTTTATAGCTTCCCTTCAATTTTCGTAATGTTAATTGTATGACAACGTACATCAGTGACGTAATTAATAGGAAATGTCAACAAAGGAAAAATAATCTCTTTATTATAAAAAAATAAACACTTTGATTAAAAATATATCACGCTTTCGGACTTTTGTCTTACAAAAGAAAATTCTTCTACAAAACAATTGCTTGATAAGTTTTGTTGACAGCTTGTATGATAAGTTAGTATTAGTATGTGTGAGGCAAGAGAGCTTCTTCCAGTCTCTTTATCAATCATGCACATGGATCCAATAGTATCATGTAATCATTGATACAATATCGTACATTCCAACATGTTCTATTAATATTCTCGAATATATATGCACATTTCACACATTCGGAATTATCAGTTTATCTGCAATATGGGATAAACAAGATTTATGAACGATTCTCTTCTTATTAATAATAACTCATGAGAGACGACTCGATATTCTCCGCCAGTTCTACATTTTATATGCTGTATTAGGATGCCAAGAGGAGGAAATTTATTATTAAAATTTACAAAAAAATAGTACATAACAAATTTACAAGAGATGATCATACATATACTTTTTACACTAAATTATAAGTAAAAGTAACAATTACATTTTTATTTAATATTTATTATATTTATTGTCATATAAAAGAGAAATCAAATTGATATTAAAAAATAATTCTAATAATACTTAATATTGTGCGATAAATTGTAGTTTGAACTAAAAATAAAAAGCCAAAGGATTATTACATAAAATAAAATTCAATATTCCATATTTCCACTTTAAATACGATTTTTACATTTAACTTTAACAGAAAAATTTAAATTATATGTTATTATGCACATTAATTTTATATTGTTCTAACGAAACAAAAAAAAATTATAATTGACAGTAAATTTTATTGTAGTAGCAAAATCTATCAGTAATTACGTGAACTGCAAAAAAATTTATTAAGAATACTAATTGCTATTTGCCATTATAATTTTGCTAAAACTACAAATTATATATTTTTCTGTATATAAGAACGAATATATTAACCTTTGTTTAATTATCAAAGCGTTTTTAGTGCATTAGCAAAACAATATAAATAAGCAAAACACATTAGCACATTAGCATTGTTTTGTAGTATTTTTTATTACGCTGCGTTTATAGAAATATTTTTTAACATAAGATGATTTCATAATATCAACTGAGAATTGAATTCACGACAATCTTTTCTCATGATAGAAAACAGTGCACAGTTCTGTCAGCAGATGGCGACATGCATTCATCTCGTCAGCTGATCACGTCTGAAATGTTTAGTTATCTACTTTAGATTACATCGAATGATTTTCTCGATATATTCGGAAGAATGACACTTAATCGGAGCATTGTCATTAATATTTTGAATTGAATTAAGTAACACAATTGTGTAGGAAGAAGATACTTCAGGATGGAGCCTCAAGATATTTATTACAACAAAGCTGAATATGTTGAAACGGTAATAATCAAAGGAACTAAAGCATGTGACATTAATAAGACGTTTATGTTCATAATTAGGAAGGAATATTATAACGTTACAGCCTCTGTTGTTAAGAGATAGATACTATAAAAACGATTTAACAAATTTAATTATTTAGTAACGTCTCGTATCCATAGATATTCAAAATATGATACGTAACCTCACTTTTTCGCTATTTTAGGCCTCCGGAAATAAGGTGAGCAGGCTGACCGTATTGTGTGGCTCGCAAAATATTGTGCTACATGGAAAAGTAATAGTGCAATCTGACGCTATCATTAGAGGCGATCTGGCCAATGTTAGAACAGGTCGCTATTGTATTATTAGCAAGAATGCTGTCATCCGGCCGCCTTTTAAGAAATTCAGCAGGGGGTAAGTAAAGTTCTTTATTATATTAGTGTATGTTAATTATAAGTGTATTATAATGGATATTAATTTTAATATTGAGACTGGCAGCTTGCAAACGACAGCGACAATTATGCTAAATGCTAAATTCTAAAATGATAAACCTTGTTTAGGGTTGCCTTTTTTCCTCTAACAATGGGAAATCATGTGTTTGTGGGAGAACGGGCAGTTGTGAACGCTGCATTGGTTGGCTCTTATGTTTACATTGGAAAGAATGCTATAATTGTATGTATAACTTTTACCTGCTAAATAGAGTGAGTGCATTTCCTTTACCATCAATCGTACTTGTATCGCTATAGGGCAGGCGGTCTGTTCTGAAGGACTGTTGCTACATTGAGGATGGTGCGGTTGTACCACCAGAAACAATCGTGCCGTCCTTTACTCGTTTCGCTGGCAGTCCTGCCACGTGCGTCGAAGAGTTGCCTGAGTGCACTCTGGATCTCATGGTAGATTTCACGAAGAATTACTATGAGCACTTCTTACCAGCACGTGTTTAATCCTCGTTTATTTATGTATGTACAATAGCGTATGTAGCCAAAAGATCTATTCTTTTCAAATGTATTGCATGTTTATGTTCTGCATTTAAGATGAAATAAATATGTAATTAAATATTGCATACGTGATAGAAATTAGGAAATTTAAAAAGTTACAACTGAAAAGAACATAAAATCGGCCGTGTAAATTTTTTTATAATTAATGTATATATTTTGTTACACTTTTGAATTAATAAAGAATATTTGAATCAATAAGAAATCGGATTTAATAAACTAAATATACACGTCTGCACTTAAGTATGTTTCGACTTAATGGATGTTGCTGTAGAATTATTTCCTTGGAGATCTGTACTGTATGGATAACAATCCCTATATATCGTTGTCATGGCTAATTTTAGCTGCAATAATAGCTTGTAAGATTTATTTATTATACTATGTAAATAATTAATTTCAAACTGTATATGTAAATCAATCATAAAGGAAGCTTGTTTATTAATCATATTGTATGCATTTATTTTATAAATAATCTATTTCAACAGTGTTTTCTACATAAAAAAAGACTGTTGAAACTTCTGTTGAACTAAAGGAGCTGTATCTGTTTGATAATTTTACATTATATTAAATTACAACATAATAAAATCATATCGATAAGTCACATTTATTACTAAAGGACACAAACATCTAACAAAGTAGTAAGAATCTCTAATCCAGATTTTTATGAAGTTTACAATTAAATTAAATGTAGTGCAACAGAAAGCTGAGGAAAATCAGATGTCTCTGAATTTCTTTCGAAGTAGTATACATTTCTGCAGGCATTTACTCAAGATATTCCACAATGTCGATATCTGCGTTTGACACTTCTTTTATTGCATGCATTGTTTGTCTACGAGGAAAAATATAATAGCACAAGGTATGGTAACACAATTTCTTTTAAGGGGATGTTGAAGTAATGATCGAAATTGATTGTTGTCGACAGTATAAACTTTTTAAATTTTGAATTAAAAATGTCAGTTCCCTTTTCTGCATAATAATTTTAGTTCAGACATATCGTAGCACATACATTGCTGCGTTACACAATCATAAATGTGTGTGCACGTATATGTTTATTTTACTCAGTATATTCTCTGTCTATCTAACAATTTATAACATTATCTCTCCCTAGCACCTACTGCTACACGTTTTTTAATGCTACAGGCTTTTAATAATTAGTTTCATAAACTCAATATTGTTCGTTTATATAATGTGACAAATAGTACCACATCATTTTGTTCATACGAGCTGTAGAACTTTTATGTTAAGAAAATGTCTAAATCAAGTGACAATTCTACTAGCTAAAAAATGTAAACTTCTAAATCTTTTTTCCGTTTTTAGTATAAAATTAATTGTCCCATTTCCTTATTTTGCATCTATCTTAATCTCGTAAAAGAATTTTTTATTCTGTTCAGCCAATTCAGAGATATTCATACGTCTACAATGTGTCGATAAATTCCGTTCACTCCAGCATCCCCTTAAATCTTACCTCTTTTGCCACAATAACTCGAACGCAAAAATGATTACAGAAAAAAGTATTCCGTAGCCCATTATGACCAGCGCGAAGTAGCATTCTGTGAAACCGATAGTGATGAAACTAGTTTGACTCGAACATACTGGTTTTCTGGTATATAAGTGATATTCCTCGTGATATTTGAGTCCATATTCTCGCAACTTTAAAGCTCTGAAAACATAATTCCCGAATGTCAAACATTCCGAGAATTAGTATATTATCATGAGATAGTTATTGGTTTGTGCTTAGGAATAACGTGTCAATCTGTTTTTAAAACTATGTAATATTTTTACGTTAGACTTTAAACTTCCAAGAAATTTTACAGCGAAATTTAAAGACTTGAAAACTCTTATGTTCACGTGAAAATAATTAAAGGTGTTATTTACCCATTTCTTATTATCTCTGTGTAAGGTGATTGCTTTTGTATCATAAGAAGCGGATATACGACATTTAGGAAATCGATTTCGGTCAAACCGCACTTCTCCTCCTCCAAATATGTGTCTTGCATCAGTTGGTAAATTGAACCAATTTCACCATGAAATGCGAAGAGTTCGTTTCTTACGCGACGTACACCTTCTTCTATAGACATCCAGTTAGATTTGCTTCCTTTCGGTTCAATTCGTTGTTCTAGGATTGTCTTCCTAACGGGATCTTGGACAGACTGTCATCCCACAAAGAACTTATCTATTTTTATAATCTGTTCTTGTATCTCTATATGTTAATAATTTTTACGCCGTAATTAAAGTAGTATTTAACAATAAATAAGTATTTAATAATAAATTATATGATTATAATTATTATATCAGATTTTTTATGTTATTAGTTTCCGCGATTTTTTATTTACCGACCTTAAAATAATGTCTATTATATACTAAATCATGCACGCCCAGATTTAAAGGACCGTTTAAGAGATCCGGAAGAGTTTTGATTGAATCCGCGGTAGACTGCAACAAACCCACGATATTCGCTGTATAAGCCGCATATAAACTCATCGAGGCCAGTAATAACATAAGAGTAACAATTCGAGACGAAACTCTGAAGGGTTCGTACCAATATCCTACAAAGTTTATACATAGAGAGAATACACAATAGTTTTATAAATTTTATGTGGACCGAAATGAAGATAAATCCATCGTAAAATATAGTAAATGTTTCGGTTTACGTATTTGCACGAAAAAGATAAAATTTGGTGCCTAGAGAATTTTGAATAATATTTGGGAATTATTTTAGTAATATTCCGAGTCTACGATTATATTATCGAAAATCGTTTATCTACCTTGTTGAGAAAATGCGCCTAAAAGAATGAGAAAATTATCGCTGACTGTTGGCTTGGTGGGATTTAGTTGATTCCAGTAGGCTGCTGATTCTGTCGCTCTACCGCGATGGTATTCCCATTTGATGGATAAGTAGAGCAAACAAAAAACCAAAACAAGAAATACTGCAATTGCTATCCAGACGTTTCGTTGAAAAGGCAGAATAAATATGTTGCTCACAGTTGACAGTAAAGGTCGCCGAAATACGAAACGGAAACTATATAGATTTGTATATAAAAAAAAATAACATGAAGACTTACAATAAGTAGTCAAAATTAATAGCAGTTTAATCATCTTTTTTAGTCAAGTATACATTTAAAAGTTAAATTATAAACTAATTGAAATTTTAATTATTTCCTGTCTCTTCCAGATATTGCCTTTAGAAAGACGTAGAAAATTAATTTAATAAATAATCGGTTTACCACGTATGTGTATACAATTGGAGGTATTGTACAACATCGATACGTTCCGGAATGAGAAATGAGGGGGTACCGCTGATATCAATTTCACGCCGTTCCAACATCCCAGTCATTCCGCTCCAAGAACCATTCTCAGTGCGATATCCCCAGTCGTTCGTGATTTCAAAACTTACCCTAAAGCAAAAATATTGAATTTTGAGTCGGCAATTAACACAAAATGCTAACGAGCACCGAATACAGCTGCCATACATATAAATACCAAATATGTATATTTATTATACATACTTATATGTTATACATATATAAGCATTTGTATGTTTGCTGAGCTGTATTTCGTAATCCACAAATTCGACATATCGCATCTCGTGTTCATGAAATCAGTAAATAATGACGGTTTTTTTTAATTAGAAACGATTATTTAAAAATATTAATGGCTTTTATCGAAGTTCTTTATTTAATATTGAAAAAAGGTGTATTGATCGGCTAATAAATCGAGATAAAAAATATAGAAACTGACACGTACATATAAAAAGTCACTTTATCTTCAATTAAATATTTTTATGTGAGTATTTATACGATTATATACACGGAGAGAATTTTTTCTTAGAATTTACCCTGAAAATATGACAGTTGTGGGACAACATTGGTGTATATATTTCGAAGAATTTTAATATAAATCTCTCTCATTCATTAATAAAACTACAATAAAGTATAAAATAAGTTTGATCAATTTTACTAAAGTGCATGGTAAAAATCTTTAAAATATTGTATTGTACCACAATCACCATATTTTCAGGGTAAATTTTAAAAGAAAATTCTCCCCGTGTAGACGAGCAAAGATTTTTAAAATTATGTTGCAATATTTACAGATATAATAATAAATTTTGGATTTTAAGTAGCCAATTAGAAACAAGAGTATATACAATAATCATGCAAATTGTCTGGTAATTAATAAATATGTAATGCTTATTTGATTAAACGAATCGTTCCACTCATATATCTGATCATGTAGTTCTCTGGTTCAAAACAATTTATCATTCTTTTTGACGTATACAATTATCGCTCGATTACCTCACTTTAACCATTAATCCCTTGTTCGAATTTATTACGCCGTTTGAAAGCTTGCATTCGTGATTTTGAGTTAGCAAGACAATTCGTTACAAATTGTCGCCGTTGCATGGATTTATTTCAAATACCTTAACAAAATATTTCGTCATAGGTATGATTTCAAAGATTGAACTCACGTTGCATTCATTCGGTTCGCTAAATGCAGTATCCAAGGATAATTAGCCTTTGTGGGAGCATCTACGAATTTATCCTTGAAGTCAGTCAAATGATCGATGGTGTTAGGATTCGTCACCTGTATGTGTGCAATAGCAATAAATTTTGAAAGAAAATATCTCTTCTGTTAAAAGAAAATTGGTACTTAACATGGAGACTACATCACAGCATTTTTGAAATTTTATTATGAACATCGCTAGTATTAGCTTTTCGTCTAATATTAGATGTTATATTATACACATATTACATTAGTTTGCTTACAAAATGCTTTGACGTCTCGTTAGTATTTAAGTGCACTTGCATGACGATTATATTTTAAAAGTACCACGATACAAGATTTAAGAGCCGTCTGTTGAAGATTTCTCCTTCGTGCTGAAGCCACATCGAAAGTGCTCATTTGCAAACCATTCTTGATCGTCCAGTTTCCACGATTTTCCCATATTACACCTTTCTGTGGACTTGGTCGATATATGGATAATAATTCGAGAAAATCGCCATCGAATCTTCGCGCGAGGATCACGTCGCTATCAGGATAAATTGCCAAATCCTCGAAGATTTCCAACACAGAGTCATCATATGTAAAAGTTAAATTGACGTTATCATCGTTGTCGGTCATCGTTTTTCGATCTTGAAAAAGCAGCCACTTTGTCGGAGCGACGAACATCCTTTTCGAGTGTGCCTATCATTTCATATCAGATATCCGATCATGATAAATTAGAAGATTGGTATAAGATACATAACGAAATTGTGAGTCTCATCAGTCAAGGTATCAGCGAATGTAAAGAAAGTTTTTTTATTATATAATGTGTTTATAGACATGAATATTATGTTACCTGTCGTAAAATATCAATGGCGTAATCGCAATCTAAGTCCAACATATATAGGTTTTGATGTTCTAAATTATTGTAAATCTTCGGATTAAATTCTTCGTAGAAGTTATGAATATTATGCATTAAGTAGTTGCTCGATAATATTCTTGATAATTTGATCGTATCATCTGCGAAAGGATATTATATTTAATTTAACTCCAATAAATATTTTTTATGCGTTATTTTTATTAATAAATAAAGATAGAAATTGCACTATTTATACAAGAGAAGAACGATTTTACGAAAGTATTTAAAAATTAAGCTTGATGTAGATCTGAAAATAATTTTGTTGACTTATCGGTCCTGTGGCATTCTATCTGTTATTTCCGAGATAAAAGTTAATATAATATATTTTTTTATCTAAACTTGTAACTTTGTGTTGAAGAATAAAATAGATAATGTGGCCGGTATTCATAGTGAGACGTGCATACTTTTGTTTTTTTTTCATTGTGGATTTAATGAAAGGAAAGAGGAAAGGGTGAGAAGAGAGAGTTTGAAATCCACTGAGACTGTTAGTATGTAAATTTGTCAAAATAAATATTATTGAGTTAATGTTCTCATATTTACACGTTTACACTTGTATTTAGACTCTGACTGAATCTCTTTTATTATTTATTATACAGGTCTCGATATTCGCGAATAAAAATACTGCGCAGCCAGAAAGTTCTCGAAAAAAATGAATTAAAAAAGCTTTTTGCCATTTTTCATTCCAACCGGTAATTTTTAAAATATAAAAATTTAAAATTGGCTAATCATTGATCGCGTTCAGCAGATTCAACTGTTGAGGAACGGATCCGTATGCGCTCGCTGTCACTGGATGATCTAAAAAAAATACACCAATAAAGAGCGGCGAGCGCTCATCGAACAGTTGAGTTTGCTGAACGCGATCGTAGATTACGGTTAAACGAATACTTGTCGTGAGTCACCACGCGTCACCACTAACGTTATATCGATATGCAACTCAGAGCCATACATCCATTTAGCCGTAACCCGTAAGTGACCAATTTTAAACCGTCATACTCAAAGAACATGGCAAATACCTTTTTAACTGTTTGTTTCCGAGAACTTTCTTGTAATATTTTGATTCGTGAATTTCGGGACACCCTGTAAAAGAGCATTCTCTACTTTTTGTATTAGTGTATTTTTTGCAATTACAGCTAATAGTTGTTATAAATTTCGAGTGCTTTTTAATTCCCCCTTCAATGAATAATTAATATATAAAAATCATGAACATGCACGAAAATCTTGCCATAGTTAATGCATAGATGTAGAGATATTCTCGAAGGTGGAAATAGAGTGGGCGTCGCGTTGACGATAAATCTTACGATAACATCGTCGACGCGAAATGACGCGATTACGTCATTGCCGAGTGACAGCGCGAGGATGCACAGGATAATGAAGATCATCCTGACCGCGCTTGTCTCCGCTAACTGCGGAAATTCTTCAGGATCATAGAGAGAATCGATCGTTTGTGCACTATAGTCTCTCGGTATATTCATGATTATATAGATGCGAGTTGCATAATTCTGCATATTGTAAAATCACGAATCCGCAAAAAATTGACGAACAATCAAGTCAACGTGCGTTATTACGATTGATAAAGTACATGATAGATGCTCGTTAACGTCTGTCAACAAATTATATACTTCGAATGCTTCTCGAAACACGAGTTTACCAGCTTTCCTCGTTCTCACGAATGCTTTTTCATTCCTCTAAATACACTATTTGAGACAATAATGGCAGTGTAAAGCATTATAAATCCGCGAAGAAAGACAGGCCTGAGAGACTTAGCCTACTCAATGTCGCGGTTATGGTTTTCGAAGGATTGTCTTGCCTTTTCTTATCGTGAAATAAAGGTTTGCACTCCGAGCACCTCTGGCGCACATATTTGATGCACATGTTCTCGTGTTGAACAGTAGTTGCGATTATCATATCAGACAAATTTATTTCACATATATAGAGTTAAACGCGTTGTTATATTTTAATTAAATATGATATTAAAAGTACAATTAAAAGTATAGGTAAAGAACACACTTTTGTTTACGAAAGTTTCATTTTTTATGCTCCTGATTAATGTAATGTATCAAGTTCGGACTGTTTATTTAACTACTTTGTAAAATAATAATTGTAACAATAATTGTTGTAATAATTACCGAATTTCAGGAGTGAAAGTTAAACTGAAGTCATTAACTATATAAAGTAACGTAATCAAAAGTTTTGTGTCAAAATGGCATCGGATGGTGCACATTTTAAATGTAACTTATCTGCACTTAAATTGGGGTAACCCTAATTATCTTAAGTGCAATTATTCTAACCTGATAATTGTATTCAATTTTGAATTTTTCCATGTTTTGAACCAAAATGACGGCAAAAATTACATTATCTTGCGTATGTCTAGTAACTTTGGGTCATCACTCTGAATAGGGTTCAAAATTATGAAGATAAATATTTTTTTTTTAATAAATGAAATAGCTATGATAAAATGTAGGATTTTTTCAATATGTTAATTTTCGCTATAAAAACACTTTAACAAATGTAATTTTTTTAGTGATATCATGAATCCATAGATATTCAAGGGTGATACGCAACCTCACTTTTTCGCTATTTGAGGTCTCCGGAAGTAAAAGGCCTATTTGAACTTCTTGAAAAGCCGTCGGATGATCACCTTTCAAAGTTACAGTTCATCTTTTCTCTTTTTCTCTCCAATATGGAGAAAAATGGAAGAAAGATGAACCGTGCAAGAACTTTAGCTAAAAAGAACAAACTTAAGGTGAGCAGGCTGACTGTATTTTGTGGCTCAAAAAATATTGTGCTACATGGGATCTGTTTTCTGTTCCTACACTAAACTGTACTAGAACTCTCTTTCTAGTTTCTCGCTTTTAACAAATATGAAACATATGTCTTTTTCAATTTAAGATCCAAAAGTGTATACTAGTTCAGTCACAGTAAACAGACCTATAGAAAAGTAACAGTGCAATCTGAATCATTAGAGGTGATCTGGCTAATGTCAGAACGGGTCGCTATTGTATTATTAGCAAGAATGCTGTCATCCGACCGCCTTTCATGAAATTCAGCTGGGGGTAAGTAAAGTTTTTTACTATATTAATATATGTTATATTTCCAGTCAGCAAAAAACATTTTGAAACATTTCAGTGTTACAACATTGCTACAACGTTGCTGAAATGTTTCAAAATTTTTCTTGCTTACTGGATTGATAGTTTTAATAGATACTAATTTGAATATCAAGACTGGCAGCTTACAAACGAGAATGATAACTCTTTAATACAATTACGCTAAATGTTAAATTCTAAAGTGATAAACCCTGTTTTAGGGTTGCCTTTTTTCCTCCAACAATGGGAAATCACGTGTTTGTGGAAGAATTGGTTATAGTTGCGAACGCACCGTTGGATAGTTCTTGTTTATATACGGAAGAATGACATAATTATACATATAATAAATTTTATCTGTCAAATCAAGTGAGTATAGCGCAATTCCTTCACATTCAATTGTATTTGTCTCTCTACAGGATAGACAGTCCGTTCTGAAGAATTGTTGCCATATTGAGGACAGCGCGATCGTAACTAAAAACAATTGTGCCGTCTTGTACTCGTTCCGCTGGCAGTCCGGCGACGTGCGTCGAAGAGCTGTCTGAGTGCACTTTGAATCATGGTAGACTTCACGAAGAATTATTATGAGCACTTCTTACCAGCACGTGTTTAATGTTCTTGCTGTTAAATTATTTTCTTGGAGATCTGTGCTATATAGATAATAATTCATGTATACCATCATTGCTGTTGATTTTAACTGTGAATCATTATAATCGTTATAACTCGTAAAATTTATTTCTTGTACTTTGCAAGCAATTAATTTCAAATTGTACATGTAAAACAATCATAAAGGAAGCTTGTTTATTAATCACATCGTATACATTTATTTTATAAGTAATTTATTCTATAGAGTGTTTCTACATAAAAAAGATTGTTGAAACCTCATTAAAAGGAGCCGTATATGTTTCATAATTTTACATCAAATTAAATGACAACACATTAAAATTATATCGATAAGTCACATTTATTACTAAAGGATACAAACATCTAAAAAAGTAATAAGAATCTCTAATCAAGATTTTTATGAAGTTCATAATTAGATTAAACGCAGTGCAACGGAAAACTGAGGAAAATCAGATGCCTCTGAATTTCTTTCGAAGTAGTACACATTTCTGCAGGCATTTAATCAAGATATACCATAACGTTAGTTTCTGCATTTGACACTTCTTTAATCGCGTTCATAGTTTGCCTACGAGAAAAGATATAATAAATAGCGCAAGGCATGGTAACGAAGTTTCTCTTAAGGGGATGTTGAAGCAATGCTTGAACTTGATCAATGTCGATAGTACAGACGTTTTTAATTTTAAATCGAAAATGTCCATTCCGTTTCCTGCAATTTCATTTCAGTTCAGACATATCGTAGCACACACACATTGTTGCGTTATGCAATCACAAATATGTATGTGTGTATACGTACATGTATATACATTTCTCTCTGTTTATTCTCTATCTTTTATAACAATTTACAACATCATCTCTCTCTAGCACTTACTGCTACACATACTGTCTTGTTTACTATTATGAATCTTCGCTAAGTATACGTACACAAGAGTAAGTTGCAGTTGAGTGAAAATCTTTTTCTTTAGGCTTTTAATAATTAATTTTCTAAACTGAATATTCTTCGTTTATGTTTATACAATTCAACGAGTGGTACCACATCATTTTGTTCATACGAGTTATAAAACTTTTATATTAAGAAACTGTAAATCAAGTGATAACTCTACTAGCTGAAAAATATATGTTTTTAAATCTTTTTTCCATTTTTAGTATAAAATCAAGTGTCCCACTTTATTATTTTTATCCCGTAAAAGGTTCTTTTATTCTGTTCAGCCAATTCGGAGATATTCATACGTCTAATGTGTCGATAATTTCCGTCACTCCAACATCCCCTTAAATCTTACCTCTTATGCCACAATAACTCGAACGCAAATATGATTATAGAAAAAAGTATTCCGTAACCCATTATGACCAGGGCGAAGTAGCATTCTGTGAAACCGATAGTGATGAAACTAGTTTGACTCGAACATACTGGTTTCCTCGTATATAAGTGATATTCCTCGTGATATTTAAGTCCGTATTCTCGCAACTTTAAAGCTCTGAAAACATAATTCCCGAATGTCAAACGTTCCGAGAATTAGTATATTATTATGAGATAGTTATTGGTTTGTGCTTAGGAATAACGTGTCAATCTGTTTTTAAAACTATGTAATATTTTTACGTTAGACTTTAAACTTTCAAGAAGTTTTATAGCGAAATTTGAAGATTTAAAGCTCATTGTCCACGTGAAGATAATTAGAGGTACTATTTACCCAGTTTTTATTATCTCTAAGTAAGGTGATTGCTTTTGTATCACAAAAGCAGGATATATGAGATTTAGGAAATCGATTTCGGACAAACCGCACTTCTCCTCCTCCAAATATGTGTCTTGCATCAGTTGGTAAATCGCAGCAAATTCACCATGAAATGCGAAGAGTTCGTTTTTTACGCGACGTACACCTTCTTCCATAGGCATCCAGTTATATTTGCTTCCTTTCGGCTCGATTCGCTGTTCTAGGATTGTCTTCCTAACGGAATCTTGGAAAGACTGTCATTCCACAACGAATATCTATTTTTGTAATCTATTTTTTTATCTTTTGCTATACACTAATAATTTTTACGCCTTAATAAAAGTTACAATATATGATAATAAATAATATAATTACAATTATTATATGAAATTTATATAATAATAAATTATAATATTATAGTTATTATATAATTATTATATAATAAGAATTTTTTTATATTATTAATTTTTTCCGTGATTTTTATTTACCGACCTTGAAAAAATATCTATTGTATACTACATCCTACATACCCAGTTTTAAAGGACTGTCTAAAAGACTGTCTAAAAGATCCGAAAGAGTTTTGATAGAATCCGTGGTAGACTGCAGCAAACCCACGATATTCGCTGTATAAGCCGCATATAAACTCAGCGAGGCCAGTAATAACATAAGAGTAACAATTCGAGACGAAACTCTGAAGGGTTCGTACCAATATCCTACAAAGTTTATACATAGAGAGAATACATTTTATAAATTTTACGTGAACCGAAATAAAAATAAATCCATCGTAAAATATAGTAAATGTTTCGGTTTACGTATTTGCACGAAAAAGATAAAATTTGGTGCCTAGAGATTTTTGAATAATATTTGGTAATTATTTTAGTAATATTCTAAGTCTACGATTATATTATCGAAAATTGTTTATCTACCTTGCTGAGAAAATGCGCCTAAAAGAATGAGAAAATTATCGCTGACTGTTGGCTTGGTGGGATTTAGCTGATTCCAGTAGGCTGCTGATTCTGTCGCTCTACCGCGATGGTATTCCCATTTGATGGATAAGTAGAGCAAACAAAAAACCAAAACAAGAAATACTGCAATTGCTATCCAGACATTTCGTTGAAAAGGCAGAATAAATATGTTGCTCACAGTCGACAGTAAAGGTCGCCGAAATATGAAACGCAAACTGTAGATTTGTACATGAAATATCAGTGTCATTGTAATAAAATGGAGAATAATGATACGAATTTAAAATTAATAACAGTTTAATCATCTTTTCTTAGCAAGTTTACATTTAAAAGCTTAAAAAAAAAATTATAAAATAAATAGAAAATATAGAAGCTCGATATACATACATCACCTATATAGTTAATACACTATAATAAAGCGACCATTAAACAAACAATAAAAGATTTTTTTCTATGAAATGGCATGAGATTGTGTATTTATATATTCCGGTTACATAGATATATTAATTGCGATTGTTGTTTCATGTTTCTATATGCATGTAACCAGAATATATGAATACATAATCTCATGCTATTTTATAAAAAAAGAAAATCTTTTATAGCTCGTTCAAATTATAAACTTTAATTGAAACTAACTATTTCCAGTCTCAAATGTTGCCTTTAGAAAAAGATGCAAAAAATCAATTTAATGAATAATAGTATTACCCCGTATGTATATACAATTGGATGTATTGTACAACACCAATACGTTCCGGCGTGAGAGATATGCCGGTACCACCGATATCAATTTCACGCCGTTCCAACATCCCGATCATTCCGCTCCAAGAACCATTCTCAGTGCGATATCCCCAGTTGTTCGTGACTTCGAAACTTATCCTAAAGCAAAAATATGGAATTTTTAATCGGCGATTAACGTAATATCCTAACGAGCACCGAATGCGACTGCCATATATATAAGTATCAAATGTATATATTGATTATACATAGAGGAGACCGGGGCACCGTGAAAATCACAAGAATTCAAACTCTTAAAAGTTCATCTAAATATAACAATTTTTGTATCATTTTTTTTTAATAATTAAAGCATAATGCATATTTTAAAGTTTAATAAGTATATTTATAGTAAATATTTATTAGTTTTTAAGAAAAAAAAATAAAACATATTTTTTAAGAAATGACCCATAGTGCCCCATACCATAGGGTACCATAGGTCACATTCAAAATAGTAGGATTATGCAAGAAATAACGATGATGAAAGTTGAAAAATATTTTCAATTAATTTTCTAAGCATAGTCACTAATTCAATAAAGTATAATAATAACTAATAATTATTCGCAAATTCAACACATCGCCTCTCTTGTTCACAATAGATAATGTTTTTTAATCAGAAGCGATTATTTTAAAATATTAATAGCTTTTATCAAAATTCTTTATGTAATATTAAAGAAAGGGGTATTGATCGGGTAACAGATGGAGATAAAAAATATAGAAACTGATATATATACATACAAAAAGTAGCTTCATCCTTAATTAAATATTTTTGTGCAAGTATTTATATGATTATATAGACGAGTAAAGATTTAAAAAAATTATGTCGCAATATTTATGGATTCAGTAATAAATTTTGAACTTTAAGTAGCCAATTAGATATGAGAGTACATGGAGTAATCATGTAAATTGTCTGTTATGGTAATTAATAAATATGTAATGCTTATTTGATTAAACGAATCGTTCCACTCATACGTCTGATCATGTAGTTCTCCGGTTCAAAACAATTTATCATTCTTTTTGACGTATACAATTATCGCTCGATTACCTCACTTTAATCTCATTAATTAATCCCTAGTTCGAATTTATTACGCCGTTTGAAAGCTTGCATTCGTGATTTTGAATTAGCAAGATAATTCGTTACAAATTGTCGCCGTTGCATAGATTTATTTCAAACATATTAACAAAATATTTTGGCATAGGTATGATGATCAAAGATTGAACTCACGTTGCATTCATTCGGTTCACTAAATGCAGTATCCAAGGATATCCTGCCTTTGTGGCAGGATCTACGGATTTATCCTTGAAGTCAGTCAAATGGTTGATGGTATTAAGATCCGTCATCTGTATGTGTGCAATTTAAATAATCTTGAAAGAAATCTTGGAAGAAAATATCTCTTTTGTTAAAAGAATACTAGCACTTAAAATAAAGATTACGTCATAGTATTTTTGAAATTTTATTATGGACGTCACTAGTACTTGCTTTTTGTCTAATATTAATTCTTATACACATGTTATATTAGCTTGCATACAAAATACTTTGACGTTTCGTCGGTATTTAAGTGCGCTTGTATAACGACTATATTTCAAAGTACCGCGATACAAGATTTAAGAGCCGTCTGTTGAAGATTTCTCCTTCGTGCTGAAGCCACATCGGAAGTGCTCATTTGTAAACCATTCTCGATCGTCCAATTTCCACGATTTTCCCATATTACACCTCTCTGTGGACTTGGTCGATATACGGATAATAATTCAAGAAAATCGCCATCGAATCTTCGCGCGAGGATCACGTCGCTATCAGGATAAATCGCCAAATCCTCGAAGATTTCCAACACAGAGTCATCATATGTAAAAGTTGAATTGACGTTATCATCGTTACCAGTCATGGTTTTTCGATCTTGAAAAAGCAACCACTTTGCCGGAGCGACGAACATTCTTTTCGAGTGCGCCTATCATATCATATCAGATATTGATCATAATAAATCAGAAGATTGGTATAAGATACAACAATAATGAAATTGTGAGTCTCATTAGTCAAGATGTCAGCAAAATGTAAAGAAATTTTTTGTTTACATAATGGGTGCCTTCCAACAAGCGACTCAGTACAACACAGTAATTATCTCATCCTTATTTAACATTGGCGAACAAGGATATAATGATGCTCGGTGTCACACCGTGTTATGTATGTCTTTTATTGGAAGGCACTTTATGTATTTATAGACATAAGTATTATATATGTTACCTGTCGTAAAACATCAATAGCATAATCACAATCTAAATTCAATATATATAAGTTTTGATGTTCTAAATTATTATAAATCTTTGGATTAAGTTCTTCGTAGAAATTATGAATGTTATGCATCAAGTAGTTCCTCGACAATATTCTTGATAATCTGATCGTATCATCTGCGAAAGGATATTATATTTAATTTAACTTCAATAAATATTTTTTATGCGTTCTTTTTATGAATAAGTAAAGATAGAAATTGTATCTGGAGACACTGGTAGAGTCTCGGCGCTAAGATATGCGTGGCTACTTTATATATACAAGGAAAGAGCGATTTTATTGAAGTATCTAAAAATTAAGGTAGATAAAAATCTGAAAATAATTTTGTTGATCTGTGGCATTTTAACTGTTATTATTTTCGAGTTAAAAGTTAATATAATACATTCTTTTATCTAGATTTGTAACTTTTTTTTCAAAGAATGTAAAATAAAATCTATCTATGTAATCGTTTAGTGACATTACTAAACGGATGAATCTACCTGAATATTACAAAATGTAAAACGAATAGAGTTAGGTGTGCTGTATGCAAAAGAGAAACCAACTCTTGGAGGATTGAAAATTTCTAAGTAATCCTCAGAAAAGATCTAAGTAATTTTCAGAAAGGACTGTCTACAGCTATCTCTTATATAATCTTCCAAGTACATAAAAAATTTTGAAAAAATTTACGCCCATATTGACCTTTATTTTGTGTTAAAGAAAAAAAAGTAGAATAAAATAGAAAAAGGAAACAATTGATGGTGGACTTTCTTTTTTAGAGTTTATTTATCTATATTATTATCCCTCAAGAATCTCTTTCCCTTTGACGTGCATCGTTTTTTTTTTCATTATAGATTTAATGAAAGGAAAGAGGAAAGGATAAGAAGAGAGTTTGAAATCCACTGAGACATTTGCCTTATGTTAGTATGTAAATTTTTCCAAATAAATATTATTGAGTTAATGCTCTCATATTTACACGTTTACACTTGTATTTAGATTCTGATTCTCTTTTATTATTTGTTACACAGGCTGTGTCGACATTCGCGAATAAAAATACTGCGCAACAAGAAAGTTCTCGAAAAAAATGAGTCAGAGTCATAAAAGCTTTTTGCCATTTTTCGTTCCAACCCGTAATTCTTGAAATATGAAAATTAAAAATTGACCAATTATAGATTACAGCTAAATGGATGAGTCACTACGCGCCACCACTAACACTATATTGATATACCGCTCAGGGGCAAACAGCCGTTTAATCGTAAGCTATGAGTAAGACTAATTTGAAACCATCATACCTAAACAAAATGGCAAATACTTTTTTAACAAATTTACTTTCGAGAACTTTCGTATTTCGGGACATCTTGTAGAAGAGCATTTGCTACTTTCTCTATTAGTGTATTTTTTGCAATTACAGATAGTAATTATAAATTTTGGATGCTTCCTTCTCATTTCAATGAACTGTTAATATATAGAAATCATGAACATGTGTGTACGAAAATCTTGCCATGATTAATGCATAGCTGTAGAGATATTCTCGAAGGTGGGAATAAAGCGGGCGTCGCGTTGACGATAAATCCTACGATAACGTCGTCGACGGGAAATGACGCGATTACAGCATTTCCGAGTGACAACGCGAGGATGCACAGGGTAATGAGGATCATCCCGATCGCGTTTGTCTTCGCTGACTGCGGAAATTCTTCAAGTATCATAGAGAGAATCAATCTAATGTGCACCGTTTAATGTACCATAATCTCTCGGTATATATTCTTGATTATATAGCGATTTGCGTAATTCTACGCATTGTAAAATCACGAATTCGCGAAAAAATGGCGGACAGTCAAGGTAACGAGTGTTATTACTGGTGAAATATTCACGATAAATGATAGACGTCTCGTTAACGTCTGTGAACAGATTACATACTTCGGATGCTTCTAGAGACACGATTTCACCAGCTTTCCTCGTTCTCACGAATGCTTTTTCATCCCTTCGAATGGACTATTTGAGACAATAATGTCAGTGTAAAGCACTATAAATCCGCGAGGAAAGACAGGCCTGCAGAGAGACTTAGGGCCTGCGCACAATAGAGGAACAAGAATTAGATATTAAGATTTCAACCTATCAGAAATCGTGTATTCTGATGTAATCAGTTTCTGATATGTTGAAATCTTAATATCTAATTCCTGTTCCTCTATTGTGCGCAGGCCCTTAGCCTGCTCTCAATGTCACGTGTACGGTTTTCGAAAGATTATCTTACCTGTTTTCTTATCGTGACACAAAAGTTCGCACTCCGAGCACCTGTGACGCATATGTTTGACGCACATGTTCTCGTGTTGAACAGTAAATGCGATTATCATATCAGACAAATTTATTTCACATATATTAAGCTAAACGTTGTTATTTTAATTAAATACGGTATTTTACAGTATTTTTATTAAGTATCGTATTTTAATTAAATACGATTAAATAAATGTAAATTCTTTCAAAATCGATAGATATGAACCAAATACTTTATTTATTTATTTTACATTTAAATGTTAACAATTGGATTCTGTGGCATAAAGTAAAACTTTCCCGTGACACATGATGCTTTAATGTAAGAGCTTCTTTGATTGGAAAATTTTTATATAAATATTTCGTTGAAACATTTAACAGAAGATTTAATTGTTCAAGACGATAAACGTGCAAAATGACAATTACAAATCTTAGTTTTAATTAGTCTACACATATACGTTATAATGTGATATCTTAAAGCAATAAGATTCAATATTCATATAATCCTTTATAAACTCATATAACTTTCGTAATGTTAATTGTAAGGTAACATACGTCAGTGACGTAATCAGTATAGGATTTTTGTCTTAAGCTCGATGTCAATGATGCTAGAAATCGGTCCGACATCTCGGACAGAGAAAAAATTAACAAATCACATTTGAACAATTTGATGACGACCATTGCGATTGGTCAATTCTTTCTTCATCCGAGGTCTCGGACCAATTTCTAGCATCGTGGACACAAGGCTTTACGGATGAAAATTCTTCTACAAAACGACTTGATAAGTTTTGTTGACAGTTGCGCGATAAGTTAGTATTGGTATGTGAGATTTTTTTAGTACGGCTACATTCGGAAACTTCGCTCGGATGCCTCCGATGCATCATCCTTGTTTAATATTAAACGTTGAACAAGGACAGTTTCCTAAAACAATATAAATTAGCAAAACACATTTGCACATTAGCATTGTTTTGTAGTATTTTTTAATACGATGTTTATAAAAATGTTTTTCAACAAGATGACTTTGTAAAATCAGCTGAAAATTAAATCCACGACGATCTTTTTCCATAATAGAAAACAATGCACAGTTCCGTCAGCAGATGGCGACATGCATTCTATTCGTCAGCTGATCACGTCTGAAATGTTTAGTTATCTATTTTAGATTTGGCCGTATCAACCACCTGTTAGTGTTTCAAAGCGTAAGACGTTAATTAAAAAAGAATCTACTTTAGATTGCACCGAAAGATTTCCTCGATATATTCGGAAGAATGACACTTAATCGGAGCATTGTCATTAATATTTTGAATTGAATTAAATAACACAATTGTGTAGGAAGAAGATACTTAAGAATGAAGCCTCAAGATATTTATTACAACAAAGCTGAATATGTTGAAATGGTAATAATCAAAGAAACTAAAGCATGTGACATTAATAAGACGTTTATATTCATAATTAGAAAGGAATATTATAACGTCACAGCCTCTGTTAAGAGACAGATGCTATAAAAACGATTTAACAATTTTAATCATTTAATAACGTCTCGTATCCATAGATATTCAGAACGTAATATGTAACCTCACTTTTTCGCTATTTTAGGCCTCTGCAAATAAGGTGAGCAGGCTGACTGTATTGTGTGACTCGCAAAATACTGTGTTACATGGAAAAGTAATAATGCAATCTGACGCTATCATTAGAGGCGATCTGGCCAATGTCAAGACAGGTCGCTATTGTATTATTAACAAGAACGCTATCATCCGACTGTCTTTCAAGAAATTCAGCAGGGGGTAAGTAAAGTTCTTTACTATATTAACGTATATTATATTGATAGTTTTGATGGATACCAGTTTTAATATTAAGATTAGCAGCTTGCACGAGAGTGACTTTAATACAATTACGATAAATGCTAAATTTTAAAGTTATGAACCTTACTTAGGGTTGCAATTTTTCCTCTAAGGCCCAGTTCCACAATACATAGTTAACTCTGAACCGAGGTTTAACTTGTTCCTTATCTCTTTTCAATTCTAGAATTGGAAAGAGATCATGAATAAGGTGAGCCTTGGTTAAAAGTTAATCATGAATTATGAAAAAAATAAACCCCTAACAATGGAAAATTATTGTGGGAGAATGAGCAGTCCTGAACGCAACATTGCCATTGATTGGTTCTTATGTTTACATAGGAAAGAATGCCATATTTGTATGTATTATAACTTTTACCTGCCAAATCAAGTAATTATAGCGCAATTCCTTCATCAACCGTACTTGTGTCGCTATAGGGCAGGCGGTCCGTTCCGAAGGACTATTGTTACATTGAGGACAGCGCGGTCGTAACCAAAAACAGTCGTGTCGTCTTTTACTTGTTTCGCTGGCAGTCTGGCGACGTGCATCGAAGAGCTGCTTGAGTGCACTCTGGATTTCGTGGTAAACTACACGAAGAATTATTATAAACGCTTCTCATCAGCACGTGTTTAATCATTTATTCGTATATGTACAATAGCATACTATTGAAAGACATATTCTTTTCAAATGCATATGTTTGCGTTCTGCAAGATGAAATAAATATGTAATTAAATATGGCATTCATGATAGAAATTAGGGAATTACTGAAAAGAATAGATATAAAATCAGCGGTATGAATTTTTTTTTATAATTAATGTATATATTTTTTGTTATATTTTTTAATAAAAAATATAAAATATTTGAATCAATAAGAAATCGATTTTAATAAATAAAATACATCTGCACTTAAGTATGTCTCGATTAAATGGATCTTGTTGTAAAAGTATTTCCCTAGAGATATGTGCTATATAGATAACAATCCCTGTATATCACTGTCGCAGCTTATTTTAGCTGTGAATCATTATAGCTGATAAGATTTATTTATTGTATTTTGTAAGTAATTAATTTTAAACAGTATACGTGAAACAATCATAAAGCTTTTTTATTAATCACATTGTGCGTATTTATTTTATATAAGTAATCTGTTCCACACAGTGTTTTCTACATAAAAAAGGTCTGTTGAAACTTCATTAAAGGATCTGTACATGTTTGATAAGATAACTTTACATTATATTAAATGACAACACGTTAAAACAATATCGACAAATCACACTTATTACAAAAGGATACAAACATCTAACAAAGTAATCAAAATCATTCTAATCAAGATTTTTATGAAGTTCAAAATTAGATTAGATATAGTGCAGAAAGCTCAGGAAAATCTGATGCCGCTGAATTTCTTTCGAAATAGTATACATTTCTGCAGGCATTTAATCAAGATATACCACAATGTTGGTTTCTGCGTTTGACACTTCTTTTATCGCGTGCATTGTTTGCCTATGAGAAAAAATATAATAAATAGCGCAAAGCATGGTAATGAAGTTTCTCTTAAGGGAATGTTGAAGCAGTGACCGAATTTTATCGATGTCGATAGTATAGACTTTTTTAACTTTAAATTACAATAAAAATGTTAATTCCATTTCCTGTGTGTGTGTGTGTGCATTATCATTTTAGTTCAGACATATTGTAGCACACACATTGTTGCGTTACACAATCACAAGTGTGTGTGCACGTATATGTTTTTTTTACTCTGTATATTCTATGTCTATCTGTGTCTAACAATTTGCAACATCATCTCTCTCAAGCACCTCCTGGTACATGTAATTACTGCTCTGCTTACTGTTCTGAATCTTCGCTAAGCATACGTATGCAAGTAAATTGCAGTTGAGTGAAAATCTTTTCTTTTTAAGACTTTTAATAATTAGTTTCATAAACTCAATATCAAGTTTATTTATAGGGTGTTCAAAAAAGATTGATACCTCGGTTTTACTCGGGAACATGACGTTTTTGAAAGAAATTTGTCAGACATAAGTTGTAATGTATAGAAAGATTTATTTACAGATCTTATCAGTTTGACTTTGGGTGGCGTCGCCAAGGTCAGATTAAGATCAAATCAATTTTTTAAGATGGAACACCCTGCTTTTGTTGCCAGAATCTTATAGCTGATGTCAAGAGTTTTTCAAAATACTGTAATAAAGTTATTTTTCATTAAGTACTTTTCGAATTATAAGGCTTGAAAGTTATAGTATTGCCGGGAAGGTGTTTGATCGACGGCTAAAACCTCTTGAATGTTCAGGATTATGTCCCGGATAACATTTGTCAAGAACAAAGCCACTGGAGATTATTCCTCTTATTTTCATTTTTGCACTAAAAATTCATTTTTACGTAAAAATGAAAATAAAAGGTATAACCTCCAGTGACCTTGATCTTGACAAATTATAATTATAATTTAAATTTAATAAAAAATAACTTTATTACAGTGTTTTGAAAAGCTCTTGACACCAGCTATTAGATTCTGGCGTCAAGAATAGGGCGTTTTATTTAAAAAATCGATCTGACCTTGGCGACGCCACCTAAGGTCAAGCTGATAAGATATATTTATATCTTATAATTATTGTTTGAAACATTTTTTTCAAGAACGTCATCGTTCCAAGCAAATTCGAGGTCCCGATCTTTTTTTAACACGCTGTATGCTCCGGCGAGTGGTACCGCATCAAGTTGTTCATACAAGCTGTAAAACTTCTATATAAGAAAACATCTAAATCGCGTGATAGCTCTACCAGTTGAGAAATATAAAATTTTGAATCTTTTTACTGTTCTTAATATAAAATCGAGTATCTCACTTCTTTATTTTGTGTCTATTTTAATCCTGTAAAAGGATTTTTTATTCTGTTTAGCCAATTCGGAGAATTTCATGCATTTGTAACGCATCGATAAATTCCGCGCTCACGTCACTCTAGCATCCCTTTAAATCTTACCTCTTATGCCATAATAACTCGAACGCAAATACGATTACACAAAGGAGTATTCCGTAGCCCATTGTGACCAGTGCGAAGTAGCATTCTGTGAAACCGATAGTGATGAAGCTAGTTTGACTCGCACATACTGGTTTTCTTGTATATAAGCGATATTCCTCGCGATATTTGAGTCCGTATTCTCGCAATTTTAGAGCTCTGAAAACATAATTTCTGAGTGCCAAGAATTATTATATCATGAGATAGTCATTGGTTTGTGCACACAGTTTTAGGATGACGTGTCAATAAAATATGTTTTTAAGAGACTATGTGATATTTTTACGTTAGACTTTAAATTTTAAGAAGTTTTAAATCGAAATTTAAGGATTTAAAAATTCTACGTGTACGTGAAAATAATTAAAGGTACTATTTACCCAGTTTTTATTATTTCTGAATAAGGTGATTGCTCTTGTATCACAAGAAGCGGATATAAGACATTTAGGAAATCGATTTCAGTTAAACCGCACTTTTCCTCCTCCAAATACGTGTCTTGCATCAGTTGGTAAGCCGTACCAATTTCACCATGAAATGCGAAGAGTTCGTTTCTTACGCGACGTACACCTTCCTCTACAGACATCCAGTTAGATTTGCTTCCTTTCGGCTCGATTCGTTGTTCTAGTATTGTCTTCCTAACGGAATCTTGGAAAGACTGTCATCCCACAAAGAATTTATCTATTTTTATATCTTTTGTTACATATTAATAGTTCTTACGCCGTAATAAAAGTCGAAATATTTCATAATAAATTATATAATTGTAATTATTACATAACAAGAGTTATATTATTAATTTCCGCGATTTTTTATTTACTGACCCTAAAATAATGTCTATTATATACTACATCCTGCACACCCAGCTTTAACGGACTGTTTAAGAGATCCGAAAGAGTTTTGATAGAATCTGTAGTAGACTGCAGCAAATTCACGATATTCGCTGTATAAGCCGCATAGAGACTCAACGAGGCCAGCAATAACATAAGAGTAACAATTCGAGACGAAACTCTGTAGGGCTCATACGAATATCCTACAAGAACACAATAATTTTATAAATTTTATGTGGAACGAAATAAAAATAATTTAATCCATCGTAAAGTATAGTAAAAGTTTCGATTTACGTATTTGCACGAGAAAAATAAAATTTGATGTTTTAGAAATTTTTGAATAATATTTGAGAATTATGTTAGTAATATTCCAAGTCTATGATTGTATTATCGAAAATCGTATATCTATACCTTGCTGAGAAAATGCGCCTAAAAGAATGAGAAGATTATCGCTGATTGTTGGCTTGCTGGGATTTAGTTGATTCCAGTAGGCTGCTGACTTTGTCATCCTATCGCGATTGTATTCCCATTTGATAGATAAGTAGAGCAAACAGAAGACCAAAACGAGAAATATTGCAATTGCTATCCAGACGTTTCGTTGAAAAGGCAGAATAAATATGTTGCTCACAGTCGACAGTAAAGGTCGTCGAAATACGAAACGCGAACTATATTGAAATTTGTACATGAAATATTAATAACAGTATAATAAAATGAAGAATCATAATAAAAAATTAAAATTAATAGTAGTTTAATTATTTTTTCAGTCAAATTTACATTTAAAAGTTAAATTATTAACTTTAATTGAAATATTAACTATACTTTCTGTCTCTCCCGAATGTTGCCTTTAAAAAGAAGTAGAAAATCAGTTTAATAAATAATCATGTTACCCTGTATGTGTATACAATTGAATGTATTGCACAACACCGATACGTTCCGGCACGAGAAATGTGGCGGTACCGCCGATATCAATTTCACGCCGTTCCAACATCCCGATCATTCCGCTCCAGGAACCATTCTCAGTGCGATATCCCCAGCTGTTCGTGACTTCGAAACTTATTCTATGAAGCAAAAGTATAATATTTTTACGTATAGTATTTTTAAAAGTTATGTCGTCGATTAATGCAATAGCTTAACGAGCACCAAATGCATATATATATTACCAAATATATACTGCCATATATATAAATATTAAATGTGTATATTTGTACATATTTATATGTCGTATTATATCATTTGTATATCTATGTTTGCTGAGTCATATTTCATAACCCGCAAATTCGTCATATCGTATCTCGCGTTCATGAAAGTAAATAATAATTTTTTTAATCTGAAACGGTTATTTGATCAAAATTCTTTTATCAAAATTTTTAATTTATTTGATATTGAAGAAAGATATATTGATCGGATAATATATTCAAACAAAAGATATATAGAAACTAATATTTATTCATATAAAAAGTCGCTTCATCTTTAATTAAATTTTTTTGGCGAGTATTTATGCGATTATTATAGACGAGCAAAGATTTAAAAAGTTATGTCGTAATATTTACGGATTCGGTAATCAATTTTGGACTTTAAGTATATAATGAGATACGAGCGTACATACAATAATCATGCAAATTCGTCTGTTTTGATAATTAATAAATGTGTCATGCTTATTTGATTAAACGAAACGATCCATTTTTGCATCTGATCATGTAGTTTTCCGGTTAAAAACAATTTATCATTGTTTTTTACGTATGAAGGTATATCGCTTGATCACTTCGCTGTAACCTTATTAATTAACCTTGAGCTCGAATTTATTACGTCGTTCGAAAGCTTGCATTCGTAATTTTAAAATTGGCAAGACAATTCGTTATAAATTATCGCCGTTTCATGAATTTATTTCAAGCACCCCAACAAAATATTTGGTAATTGGTGTGACGTTGAAGGTCAAACTCACGTTGCATTCATTCGGTTCACTAAATACAGTATCCACGGATAATTAGCCTTTGTGACAGGATCTACGGATTTATCCTCGAAGTCAGTCAAATGGTTGATGGTATTAGGATCCGTCATCTGTATGTATATAATAGGAATAAATCTTGGAAGAAAATCTCTTTTGTTAAGAAAAAATTGGCACTTAAAATGGAGACTACATCATAGTATTTTTGAAATTTTATTATGGACGTCGCTAGTACTTGGTTTTTGTCTAATATTAGATGTTATACAGATATTTTATTAGCTTGTGTACAGAATGCTTTGACGTCTCGTTGGTGTTTAAGTGCACTTATATGACGATTATATTTCAAAGTACCACGAGACATGATTTAAGAGCCGTCTGTTGAAGATTTTTCCTTCGTGCTGAAGTCACATCGAAAGTGCTCATTTTCAAACCATTCTCAATCGTCCAGTTTCCACGATTTTCCCATATTACACCTCTTTGCGGACTTGGTCGATATATGGATAACAATTCGAGAAAATCACCATCGAATCTTCGCGCAAGGATCACGTCGCTATCAGGATAAATCGCCATTTCCTCGAAGATTTCCAACACGGAGTCATCATATGTAAAAGTTAAATTTATGTTATCGTTGTCGATTATCGTTTTTCGATCTTGAAAAAGCAGCCACTTTGTCGGAGCGACAAACATCCTTTTCGAGTGTGCCTATCATTTCATATCAATTATCGATCATGATAAATTAGAAGATTAGTATAAGATGCATCTGATACGACAATAACGAAAGTGTGAGTCTCATCAGTCAAAGTGTCAGCGAAATGTAAAGACAGTTTTTTACATATAATATGTTAATAGACATAGTGTGCCTTCCAACAAGCGACACAAACGATACGATGTGACACAATGGATCATTACATCCTTGTTGTTTGCCATTGTTAAACAAAAATGACATAATCACTGTGTTGCACTGTGTCGCTTGTTAGAAGGCACACATAAATATTATATTACCTGTCGTAAAATATTAATGGCGTAATCGCAGTCTAAATTCAACATATATAGGTTTTGATGTTCTAAATTATTGTAAATTTTCGGATCAAGTTCTTCATAGGAATTATGAATGTTGTGTATCAAGTAGTTGCTCGACAATATTCTTGATAATTTGATCGTATCATCTGCGAAAGGATATTATATTTAATTTAACTCCAATAAATATCTTTTGCGTTATTTTTATTAATAATTAAAGATAGAAATTGTATTATATATACTTGGATGGAACGATTTTGTTGAAGTATCTAAAAATTAAGCTAGATATAGATCTGAAAATAATTTTGTAGAACCTATCGGTTCTTTGATATTTTATCTGTCATCATTTCCGAGATAAAAGTTAATATAATATATTCTTTTACCTAGACTTGTAACTTTTTTTTATTGAAGAATGTAAAGTAGGTACATTTATTTATGTGGTTATTCAGTGACATATCATGAAATGGATGAATCTACTTGAACGGTGGGTAATGTAAAACAAATGTAAAACAAATAGAATTACATGTGCTGCATGCAAAGAGAAACCAACTCCTGGAAGATCGAAAATTTACCTAAATAATCCTCAGAAAGGGATGTCTACAGCTATCTCTTATTTAATCTTCCAAGAATATAAAATGTCTTGAAAAAATATGTAAAGGAAAATAGAAAAGGAAATAATTGATGCTGGACTTTCTTTCTTAAACTTTATTTATCCATATATTATCCCTCAAGAATCTCTTACCCTTTGGCATGCATATCATTGTTTTTTTTCCATTTTAGATTTAAAGAAAAAAAGAGAAAGGAATATGACGAGAAAGTCTGAAATACATTGAGACATTTGCCTTATGTTAGTATGTAAATGCGTCAAAATAAATATTATTGAGATAATATTCACATATTTATACGTTTACACTTGTATTTAGACTCTGACTAATTCTCTTTTATTATTTATTATACGGGCTGTCTCGATGAATAAAAATATTGCGCAGCAAGCAAGTTCTCGAAAAAATAAGGTATTATAAAAAAGCTTTTTGCCATTTTTATTCCAACTGGTAGTTTTTAAAATATGAAAATTTAAAATTGGCCAATCATAGATTACAGTTAAACGGCTGCTTATCGTGAGCCACCGCTAACACCATCGATATGCAACTCAGGGACAGAGCCGTTTAACTGTAATCCGTAATTGTAAACCGTCCGCAATTTTAAACCGTCATACTTAACAAAAAATCGCTAATACTTTATTAACTTTTATTCGAGAATTTTCTTGTTGTAATATTTTAGTTTGTGAATTTTGGAACATTTTCTGTAGAGAGAGAGAGAGAGAGAGAGAGAGAGAGAGAGAGAAGACCATTTTTTACTTTCTTTATTAATACACTGAGAAAAAAATATAATCAATTTTTTTTTAAATAAATATTTAATTCATTACTGCCAACTAAACATTTACTTACAGTAAATAAATATTTGTTCAGTAAAAAAATTGGTTGTTAAATCAAATTAATATTTCTTGTATCAAATAAATATATCTTTATATTCAATAAATATTTAGTTGGCAGCATTCAACTAAATATTTATTAAAATTGATTATATTTTTTTTCAGTGTATATTTTTTGCAATTACAGCTAATAGTTGCTATAAATTTCGAGTGTTTCCTTCCCTCTTTAATGAACAACTAATATATAAAAATTATGAACACGAAAATCTTGCCATAGTTAATGCACAGTTGTAGAGATATTCTCGAAGGTGGGAATAGAGTGGGCGTCGCGTTCACGATAAATCTTACGATCACATCGTCGACGCGAAATGACGTGATTACGTCATTGCCGAGTGATAGCGCAAGGATGTACAGAATAATGAGGATCATCCCGACCACACTAGTCTCCGCTGACTGCGGAAATTCTTCAGGTTCGTGGAGAGACTCGATTGTTTGTGCACCGTTTATTGTACTATAATCTCTCGGTACGTTCATGATTACCTAGTGATTTGCGTAATTCTGCACATTGTAAAATTATGAATCCGCGAAAAAATTACGGACAATCAAGGTAACGAGCGTTATTACGACTGTGAAATATTCAGGGTACATGATAGATGCTCGTTAACGTCTGTCAACAGATTATATACTTCGGATGTTTGTTGAGACACAATTTCACCAGCTTTCCTCGTTCTTACAAAGAGCTTTTTCATCCCTTTAAATGCACTATTTAAGACAATAATGGAAATTAAAGCACTATAAATCCGTGAAGAAAGACAGGCCTGAGAGACTTAGCCTACTCCCAATGTCGTCTGTATGATTTTCGAAGGATTTTCTAGCTTGTTTTCTTATCGTGAAATGAAGGTTTGTACTTCGAGCATCTCTTGATTGGCGCACATATTTAATACACATGTTCTCGTGTTGAACAGTAGTTGCGATTATCATATCAGACAACTTTATTTAACATATATTAAGCTAAATGTTATATGTTAATTAAATACGATATTAAATATAATTAAAGGTATGGGAAACAAATTTTGGTTTACGAAATTTTCATTTTTGTGTTCCTGATAAATGCAATATATCAAGTTCGAACGGTATATTCAATAACTTTGTAAAATAATAGTTGAAACGATAATGTAATTGTTGTAATAATTACCGAATTTTAGGAGTGCAGATCAAACTGAAGTCATTAACAATGTAAAGTAACGTAATAAAAAAATTTTGAGTCGAAATGGCATCGAATAGTGCACATTTTAAATGTAACTTGTCTGCACTTAAGGTACATTATCTTAAGTGCAATTATTCTAACTTGATAATTGCATTTAGTTTTGAATTTTTCCATCATGTTTTGAACCAAAATGACGGATAGATTACTTTATATATGTTTAATTTTAGGTCACCTGATCAGTTCTAAAATCGAGAAATAATTAAATATTTTTTTGTATAAATAGAATAGCTGTAGTAAAGTGTAGAATTTTTTCAATATGTTAATTCATTCGTTTATGATAAATTTTTTATTTTTTAAGACAGTGTTGGTTTATTAAGCCCCTTTCTACAATTTTCAACGAAAAATAATTTTACGCTGCATTATATATAATAGTTACTTACAAAAAATATTTCCATTTTTTATTTCGTTTTTTTATCACCCTTATCTTTTTGGAAACCTGTCATTCGACCGATATTGCGGCGAAGAAAATTGTTATACATTGAATATTTTTTTATTTAAAATCTGTAATAGCAAATTTGTAATTCAGATATTGTATGACTTTGTTTATTCCTAAAATAAAAATTAATTTTATTGACTTAAAAAGTAATTGACGTAAAAAAAAAATGTTTAATTTTAAATCTTGTCAGAATGGTTTCTCATGTAAATTAAGATATTTAATGTTTATATAATTTAAAGCTACAATCTATTATATTTTTTTTATTAATTTTATATAATTTGCTTTCGATATACAATATATCGATATACATAAATTAAAAATAATTTTTGTATCAGGTGTACAAATGAATAATCCAAATTTTTTAGCTAAATTCAAGATTTATTCTAAAAAAAGTGAAACGAATTTTTTAATCAAAGTTTATTTGCCATTGCTTTCTATAACTTTAAGCCATCTTTCAGGCAGCTGACGAATTTCATCTCTTGTAGCATTTTTTCCTTGTTGAAATTCATACAAAATACGGTGTCGGATATGCACTTTATCTGTTGCCATGTTTGACTCTATACTGAACTGAATATTTTTGAAGGTTATATTGGGCCTGTCGCCATATTAGGCTATGTTCAGATTCCTAACCGGATGCTACCCAAGTATCACTCTATCCTTGTTATTTACCAAACATTAAACAAGGATGACGTGACACCTGGCGAACACCCGGATAGGAATCTAAACATGAGCTTAAGGGTGCGTTCCGAGCATAAAGCGCATGATGTATCGTTTTATCCTTCTTTATTATTTGATAAACAACAAATGATGCATCATGCGCTTTATGTATAATTCAGAACGCACCCTTAATGTCATTTCTAATAGCTATATGTAAACATTACACAACCGCAAAAAAGCGAAAAAATCAATTGATTTTAAAATTAATTTCTTAACTGCTAAAAACATTTGGATTATTAATTTGTACACTTAATAAATTCTTTCAAAACCGAAAGATACAAACCGCATACTTTATTTATTTATTTTACATTCAATTAATAATTAGATTTTATGGGATGAAATAAAACTTTCCGGTGACACATGATACTTTAATGTAAGAGTCTTTTTGGTTGGAAAATTTTTATATAAATATTTCTCGTCGAAACATTTAACAGAAGATTTGTTCGCAATAAATGTGCAAGATGATAATTATAATCTTAATTTTAAGTCTGTACATATACGCTATATCGTGATATCATAAAGCAATAAGACTTAATACTCATATAATCGGTTCTGAAAACTTCTGTTCCATGTGCATACAACATGGGCGTTAATCCTTTCAAGTGTCTCCCATTATGCAATGACGAAGTTCGTTTTTTAATCGATGCAATTACGTACATTTATACATCTGCGTTTGTATTTATTTTTCAGATGAAAGGCAAACATTGCATGTTAAGTCGAAATTTATACGTTATTTATGTATTTTTTGAAACAAAATTATATTTAATTACTAACGAGAATTCGACAGTAAGCCATAAGTTGACGAGCACTCTTGTTAATCATTATAAATGCTCAATTAACGAGAGAAAACGTGCACGGAAGAAAACTTTTCACTTTTCCCAAACATTTCACCCGTGTGCGAAATCGTGCTTGTCGAGGAGATCACGCGGCGTATCTCCGCAATTAAGGCGAAGCGAGCAAATCACGCAATTATAAGGCGAGAGATACGCGACAATTGCATTGCAACATTTCACGTAGACAAGAGATGATTGCGCAACAATTCAATTCATAATAAAGAGCAGATTTCTCTAACGAAGATTGCGTTTCGCGTGTCCTTAAAATTACTTTTGTACTTTTAATTCTTTTTCTTGTTTCACTAAATAAATAAATAATGGACAAATGACTTAAAAAAATTGAGGAAATGTATGAATAAA